GAAGGCTTTCCACAAGGTTTAGGAGTGTGGACAGCATTTGTGAGGTCAGGCAACAATGTTGGACATGAAGGCCTGGCTCGCAGTCTCCACTCTAATTCATCCCAAAGGTGTTCTATCGGATTAAGTTTAAGACTCTGTTCAGGCCAGTCAAGTTGCTCCACCCCAAACTTGATCATCCATGTCTTTAAGGACTTTACTTTGTGCACTGGTACATAGTCATGTCGCAACAGGAAGGGGCCATCCCCACATTGTTCCCACAAAGCATGAAATTGTCCAAAATGTCTTGGAATGCTGACACCTTAAGAGTTACCTTCACTGGAACTAAGGGGCCAACCCCAACCCCTAAAAATCAACCCCGCACTATAATCCCCCCTTCACCAAACTTTACATTTGGCACAATGCAGTCAGGCAAGTACTGTTCTCCAGGCAAAAACCCAGATACATCCATTGGATTGCCAGACAGAGAAGTGTGATTTGTCACTCCAGAGAACACATCTCCACTGCCCTAGAGTCCAGTGGTGGCGTGCTTTACACCATTGCATCTGATGCTTTGCATTGCTCTTGGTAATGTAAGGCTTGGATGCAGCTGCTTGGCCATGGGAACCCATACCATGAAGCTCTCTACACACTGTTGTTGTGCTAATCTGAACGCCACATGAAGTTTAGAGGTCTTTAGCTATTAACTCTTCAGACAGTTGGTGACTTATGTTCACTGTGTGCTTCAGCATATGCTAACCACGCTCTGTCATTTTATGTGGCCTACCACTTTGTGGCTGAGTTGCTGTTGTTCCAAGTTGCTTCCACTTTGTTATAAAACCACTAACAATTGACCATGGAATAATTAGTAGCAAGGAAATTTCACGACTGGACTTATTGCACCGGAGGCAACCTATCACGATACCACACTTGAATTCACTGAGCTTCTGAGAGCAACAATTCTTTCACAAATGTTTGCAGAAGCAGTCTGCATGCCTAGGTGCTTGATTTTATACACCTGTGGCCAAGGACATTATTGGAACACCTGCATCCAATGATTTGGAGGGGTGTCCCAATACTTTTGGCAATACAGTGTATGTTTTAAAGGCAAAAAATGCATAAAATAATATGAATTCCATATTGCTTAGTGATAGTTTTAATTGTGTTAATGAAGATACACATCACTAATGTTATTCTGAAAGTTGTCCTATTCATAGTCACGATACAAACTCTATGTTTCTGGTACAATGCATACTGAGGTTGTTTATAAGTGAAATTATTATTATTATACAGTATTTATAAAGCGCTAACAGTTCGCTCAGAGCTGTACATTACAATGGGAGACAATACAATAACAATACAATGCGATACACGAGGGGTTCGAGGGCCCTGCTCCTTGGAGTTTACAATCTAGGAGGGAGGGGATAGTGGTACAGGAGGAAAAGCTGTGGGGGATGGAGTGGTAGGAAGAGTGGAGGAGGTCAGCAATTATCAGGGGGTGGGGTAGGCTTCCCTGAAGAGGTGGGTTTTCAGGGTGCGCCTAAAGGAGAGGAGAGTAGGTGATAGCCTGATGGATTGGGGTAGGGCGTTCCAGAGGATGGGTGACACCCTGGAGAAGTCCTAGAGGCAGGCATGGGAGGAAGAGACCAGGGAACTAGAGAGAAGGAGGTCTTGTGAGGAGCGGAGAGTGCGTTTTGGGTGGTATTTGGATATTAGGTCAGTGATGTAGTTTGGGGCAGTATGATGGACAGCTTTGTACGTCAGTGTTAGGATTTTGAATTTTATCCGTTGGGCAATCGGAAACTTTTTTATATATTTCATGAAGTACTACAAAAGATGAAAATATAACAAATATTTCCAAGATGAAAAAAAGGAAAGAAAAAACAGATCTCAATGTCTACACCACCCAGAGTCCAGTGTGTGAGGAGCATTGTAAAATATACCAGTTGCACCCTTAGAACTAAGATGATATTTTATGCGACAAACCTTGTATGATCATAATCCTTAAAGTCAATCTGTGCTCGCCTATGCATGTCAAAGCAATAGGTTTATTTAATTCAGACCTCCAAAGACACACATGCAGTATTTATCTACATTTTACTCTCCCACCATGCTGTTCATTTATCTAAGGTGAAGACAAAGCCTTGTCTAAACTACAAGTTGTGGAAGTCTCACAGAGGGCTATGCAGTCCCTGTGTGATTGGTCCAAATGCTCCTCCATACCAAGAAGTAGAGGGTATTCCTTTTGGCTCCTGGAGAATGTATGGATTGGAAGGAGGTCAAAGGAAAGGTAAGTATATGATGCTAGGGAGGGAGCATTAAAACTTGTTCTTAAGCCTGAATGGTTTGCTTCAAAATGAACCTGGGCTTTGCTAGTAAGAGGCTAATAAAGGGCAAGTTAATTGGTTCACTTAACTGCCTCTTCACACATACTCACCTTCCCAGTCATTACCAGTACTTCCAGTTAAGGTGGATCATATGACTCGTTCACTTCCTTTCTTCTGACAGTACTGATGATTGCCAGCTTGGGTCTTTTGCACTGTTACATGCAGATTGGGTAAGAGCCCACCAATCATTGTTAGCCATCAGAAATAAAGAGGAGATGTTTGTGTTCTCAATGGCTGCAGGGGAGGATGGGGTCTTAATGGATGTAGAACATGTGAATTTGGGACAGATAGTTGTAAAGTAGACCTGTTGCATTGGCCTGCCTGGTATTTTTCTCTACTTGTCTACGCGTAGAAATTTGGAGCTACACCTACCATCATAAATGTGAAAAATAAATAAATCTGGACCTAACATTTAGATTCATATTTCACATGAATCATAAGAATGCATGTATGGCTCCCCAAATCACATAACTATTTAAAGTATAATTCGTTTGTTCTTGCCAAAATTAACCAACTGCTTTATTTCAGTTTCTGGTAGCAAAGAAAATGTAACTAAAAAGCATTGTGATTTTTGCTTTAAATCTAAATATTAGTTTACAGTTACTTGACCATGTGTGGAAAGCTGGAGTGCTTTAGAATTTTTGTTGTTTGTTATTATTAAATTTATCCTTTTCACATATATACGAAAAATAAATTCTAGATCCCTTTTCAATAGACACACAAACATAAAGTGCAGGTTCATAAAAAATTAAAAATGTCTTCCTCGAAAGTGGTAGGAAAAGGCAGGTCATCAAAAACAATGATGCAGTAAACACTGCACAGCAACATAAGAAAAGACATTGAAATAAAAGATAATACACAGAACCAATGTTAAGAAAGGATGGTTTTGTTCCAATTAAGCGTCTTTTAATGTAACAGCTTTCACAACATGAGTGCTCCTAATCAATGCAGTGCCATCAACTGCCTTGTTCTTCATGATGCTACTTAATGCACTGTGCAATTCTCTTAATGGAGCTGAAGCAAGAACAGAGAACAAAAGTATGCAAAACATGATACTTAGTAGCTGGGAGAGAAGGTAAAAAAGGTTTTAATTCCCACCCATAACAGTCACCCTGGAGTGAAGCACGTACTGGCTACCAACATTTATATACTGTAGACACTAATTAGGTAAGTGCAACAGTATTTAACACATAACACAAATCAGTAGAATGCATTCCTAAACATTTCTCTGGTAGGTTTATAAGAAATAATGGTTCAATTAAATGAATTCTGTAGGTGGATGGTAAGGTTGGGATGTGTGACACTGTAATGCCCTGTCACGGTATTAAAAGACAGTCTCAAACAGGTTTTGAGAACAACCGGGACGCTTATGGGGCAAGTGTGTGCTAGGTTTGTAAGGTAATTAGGACTGGCTTCTGGGCTCCACATTCCTGAGGAGTCTGTGTGTGGTTGCAAGGGAGCAGCCAGAGGTGTGCTTGTCTGCACAATGTAGTCTGGTACAGGACAGATAGAAGACCAAGTCTAAGAGATGGAGAAGCAGGGAGTTGCTATGTTAGATGGGCAGGAGGACCAAGGCACAAGGCCTGAGCAGCAATGATCTTAAAGAGAGCCAGGAGGCTACTTGGTAAGTAGCATGTTTGTCATGGAGTCTATACCATCCACTCTCTGGTGGCTCTACTGGCCCGGTTCAGTCCTAATCTGGTGAGTGTATAATGGTTGCATAATGAGTTGCAAGTAACAGGTAACAGAGGTACAGTGTTTGTAGATGAATACAGAGGTGCTATGTTAGATGGTCAGGGGGACCAAGGCACAAGGCCTGAGCAGCAATGATCTTAAAGAGAGGCAGGAGGCTGAACATTACTGTATTTTGTGTTGATGGTGGAGTGGTATTAATTGCTGTGAACTTTTTCCATTGTGCTTCAATAAAGGTGGGCCAGTGAGTCTTTAAAAGACAGATGTGGCATGGACTGGACTCACTGGTGAATTCTACATATTAGCTATTATTAGAAAGTAAAGGGAGAACAAGAGGAGAGGATTGTAAAGTTAAGGAGGGGGTGGGAGGGGATAAGTGAGGAGAGGAGGGGAGGGGAAAAGAAAAAAAGGAAAAAAAAAAAAGGATTGGAAAGGGGCTGAGAAGATTGGGAGGAAGGTGAAAGAAGAGTAGAGGAAATAAGGATTTCTTTTCAGGTTTCTAAAGCATTGACATAGAGTCCTAGTCCCATGGCAAGAAAATGCAGTGCCAAGATTTTGGCACTCAAAACCCATGATCTACTGGTATTACAATTTACAAAAATTATATATATATATTTGATAGAGCACTGAGCACAACATGAACATGCAACTAAGTGCAATCCTGTAGCGACCAAATCTGTTGCACTTATTGCAACAAAAAAAAAAAAAAACAGTAAATAACTGAGATTTCCATAGCATTTCATAATGATGAGTGAACATGTACAGTATGCATACATGTACATACTGTTATCGTGAGCCACTGTGACCATATAAGGATTTTTAATTTTTTTTTAAATTACAAAATTTCTTGTTACTTTCATAATCCTTTGTATTTTATGATATTGGAACAATGGTTACTAGCAGGCACAACAAAATAACAAAAAACACAATACTGGTAAGTTTTACCTTTGCCATGAGTCACTTCAATGGTCCAAGTACAGTTCAAAGAGTTTGGGTAGAACTCAGGGTAACCAGGAGATAAAATTGTGCCACTTGGACCTCTGACATCTCCACCACATAAAGCTGAAAGAAGAAAAGCATGACACAGTTACATTTAATAACTGATATCTTGAAACAATAAGCTTCAGATACACAAACCAGAATGTTTTTTTCAACAAAAGAAAATGATTACAGCTTTTTGCTGCCTTTAATAAGAATTTTCTCTTTGAAAAATACATGATGAAACTTAGTTCTGCAGAAATGACTTTTGTTTAGCTGTCAATGGTAAACATTGTATCAGCTGCAAAAGAACTTACAGTGTGCTAGAAACTATTCTTAATCAGTGCCATGATAAGGGCCAGCTGTTCTGGTTTCTTATGTACCATGTTAAAAGTCTTCCCATTTCATCAGAGTCAGCTCCCATCATGTCAGAGTCCCCCCTTTATATTAGAGTTGTCCCTTCACATCAATGTCAGCTCCCATCACATCAGAATCAGCCAGGCTTCACTTGTTGGGGACATATGAAAGAGTGACCATAATTGCAAATAAGCAGATGTCATGTTGAGAATGACAAAAGACATTGTCTAGTCCTAAATATATAAAAAGTGCAGCGCGTGAAAACATATGAAGTGAATAATAAAACAATATAGCGACAGAAAATATATATAAATTAGATATAAATGAATCTCAGTGTAACCAACAAAATAGTTACCAAAAAATCCTTCCAATATAAACCTGTATGTTGGTGGTGTGATGATAACAATCATGGAAAATAGTGTTCAGTCCCACACAATGTTCTGAAATCCAATGTGCGATCCACCACCACTATGCACTCACCGGATTAGGATTGAACCGGGCCAGTAGAGCCGCCGGAGAGGGGATGGTATAGACCTCCCCGGAGAGTGGATGATATAGACCCCCCCGGAGAGTGGATGATATAGACCCCCCCCGGAGAGTGGATGGTATAGACCCCATGACATACATGCTACTTAGCAAGTAGCTCTCTGGTGAGTGCACACTGGTGGTGGATCGCGCATTGGATTTCAGAGCACTGTGTGGGACTGTACACTATTTGCCTTGATTGTTATCATCACACCACCGACATACAGATTTATATTGGAAGGACGTTTTTGTTAACTATTTGGTTGGTTACACTGAGATTCATTTATATCTAAATATCTGTTAGCACTTCCACATGGCAGTACTAGGGTCGTCGGTTCAAATCCCAACCACGGCACCACCTGCCTGGAGTTTGCATGTTCTCCCTGTGCCTGCGTGGGTTTTCTCCGGGTACTCCGGTTTCCTTCCACACTCCAAAGACATGCTGATAGGTTAATTGGCTCCTGTCTAAATTGTCCCTAGTATGTGCATGTATGAATGTGAGTTAGGGACCTTAGATTGTACGCCCCTTGAGGGTTAGGGACTGATGTGAATGTACAATATATGTAAAGTGCTGCGTAAATTAACGGCGCTATATAAGTACCTGAAATAAATAATAATATGTTTTCACACACTGCACTTTTTATATATTTTGTCTATTGAGCTTTTTTTGTCACTATCTCTTGTGCAAGCTGCTCCCGTCTCTATAGAGCTCGCCGTTTGCTTCTGAAATTGTAGTCCTAAACCACACTTGAGAGAGATTTACTAAAACTTGAGCACTCCGAATCTGATGCAGCTGTTCATAGTAACCAATCAGCTTCCAACTTCAGTTTCCTCAATTAAACAAAAACCTGGAAGCTGATTGATTTTTATTCAGAGTTGCTCCAGATTTTGCACACTCCAGTTTTAGCAAATTTCCCCCATTGTCACATTATGACCACCATCAACCTATGGACATCTTTCAAACAAACAAGTAGCTTGGTTCCTGTGGGCACTAGCTAAACTGTTCACTCTAAAGTGTACCTTGAAGAGATAATGTGGAAGCAGCAGAACTAGACAGTTTTTACAAGTAGTGATATAGAGTATGCAATAACGTGCAAAATAGGATCGGTACTGATTGATTGCCGTGTGTTCATCCTGTGCTTAATTGGAGATATCTTTTCAACAAATTCAGTATTTTTAAGTATGGGAATGCCATACAATTGTTTTCTAAGTGTGTCATAATGCCTGCTCGTTCCCTAATTACTTCTGTAATTATGCACAAAGTAAGATATGTAAGATAAAAATCAGACACTAAAATTGTGTATTTAGCCAGTATGAAACCTATAAAAGTAGTCAACAGTTTTCTTTTTTAGAACATACTGTCCATTTAAAAGACAGCAGAAACTTAACCAAACCTGTTTATAATGCTATCCCTGTAAAGAAAAATCAATTCTAATAGAAGTTTGGAAATGAAATGGCCCTGTGAATTTTTAGCAGATTCTGTTTACCCATTAGGACTATTCTTCCAATCATACTGCAGTGCAAACTTTACAATCTTTATAAATCCTCTGATCAATCAAAGAAGAGTCTAGGCAGTAGGTATGTTTTTTTCAGAGAAAAATAAATCTGAATAGCATACAGGAGCTGCTGCAAGAAAGACATTACCATTTATCATGGTTTATTTAAAATATAAACTTTTCAAGGACTTTCTTGTAACTTTTATTTTTCTTTGTCCTTATTAAAGAAAAAAACTTGGCTACTTTAAATCAGATCTTGATCAGGGGTTTCAATAACAGACTCAGTGTGAAACTATTCCTACATGACTACTATATTTCATTGGCACTGGTAAAAAGGAACCAGTTTAGGTGGTGGAACTGTGCCCATATACTGTAAAAAGCAGCATGATTAACTTATCAGTCATTGAAGTAGGACACTGAAAGCAGCTCATCAGTTATGAACAAAGGTAAATCAAAGGAAACGACAAGGGAAATATAAAATAAATCAATGCATTAAATTATGCACTTATATGGTATCTGAAAATAAATGTACAAGTGCCAAACCCATTTCTGGTCTACTGGCATTTATGATGGATGTTTAAAAAAAAAAATTATCCCTTTGCCAGTCTACAACAAATATTTTCTTATTAAAGTGGATCTGAACTCAGAAAAATTAAGATTTGTTTCTGTCATAGGGAACATCTATAGCATGTTTTCAGAGCAACACATTGAAAGACCGACTTTTTTTTGTATTGAATTGCTCATGTCCTATCCTATCCATGTGAATGTGCTAGGCACTAAGGATGGGTGAATCTGCCTGCATTTGGTCTGCAAAATTTTCACAAATCTTGTTCAGAGTTCAAAGTTCCAAAGTGTACAGTGAACCCCAATGAAGTATATTGGGGGGAGGGGGATCTTGTTATAGCCATTTTGTAGGGTAATAAGCAACCTATTGTCAAATAAAAAACATGATAAGCTGGGCACTAGCACAGGGGACATGTACCAATACCAAAAATAGAAAAAAAAACAGCATCTCACTCTACACAAAGTCGTCAACTACCCTAACATCTCTGACACACACTGACATTGTGGCTGCCATGAGACCACTATAGAAAGGGGCTGGGTTGGGCACTACGTCAGATTATTGGTTCTTGTGACTCAGCTGACAAGGGAGAAGATTATGCATTGCCATAAATGTTGTTATTTTTGGTAGCAAACCTGCAAAATGTTTGCAGGATTCACCTTGAAATCAAAGTAGCAATGAATCTGAACCTTATTTATTTATTTCAGGTACTTATATAGTGCTGCCAATTTATGCATCGCTTTACATATACAGTTGTGTCCAAAATTATTCAACCCCCAATGCTGTAAAGGGGTTTAGGGACTATAGTGTACATTTGGAATTGTATTCAGAATCAAATCCTACAAGGACGTTGTAACTACCCAAATGCAACTAAAATGACATCAATTGTTTATGTAATACAGTAGTAAATGGTTCTTATGTGGTTTCTTCATTGCCACAATTATTCAACCCCTTAAAGACTACCACTCTGAAGAACAGAGGTTCATACAGGTGCTTTCCATCAGGTATTGAAAACACCTGTGGATGTCACCGAGCAGCAATCAAGCATAATAAGCACCAATTAGGCAGCTTTAAAATGACTGTGATACTCAGCTCCTTCTAGACATTTACTGGTGTGGTTACAAACATGGTGAAGGCAAGAGAATGGTCCAGGAAGACAAGAGAAGAGGTGATTTCTCTTCACAGGAAGGGCAATGGCTATAAGAAGATTGCAAAGATGTTAAACATACCAAGAGACACCTTAGGAAGCATCATTCGCAAATTCAAGGCAAAGGGCACTGTTGAAACGCTACCTGGTCGTGGCAGAAAGAAGATGCTGACTTCGACTGCTGTGCGCTACCTGAAGCGTAGAGTGGAGAGAAGTCCCCGTGTGACTGCTGAGGAACTGAGAAAAGATTTGTCAGATGTGGGTACAGAAGTTTCAGCCCAGACAATAAGACGCACACTGCGTAATGAAGGCCTCCGTGCCAGAACTCCCAGGCGTACCCCCTTGCTGTCTCCAAAGAATAAGAAGAGTCGACTGCAGTATGCCAAAAGCCATGTGGACAAACCACAAAAGTTGTGGGATAGTGTTCTGTGGACTGATGAAACAAAATTAGAACTGTTTGGGCCCATGGATCAACGCTATGTTTGGAGGAGGAAGAACAAGGCCTATGATGAAAAGAACACCTTGCCTACTGTGAAGCATGGTGGAGGGTCAATCATGCTTTGGGGCTGTTTTGCTTCTGCAGGTACAGGGAAGCTTCAGCGTGTGCAAGGTACCATGAATTCTCTTCAGTACCAGGAGATATTGGATGGAAACGTGATGCAGTCCGTCACACACCTGAGGCTTGGGAGACGTTGGACCTTTCAACAGGACAATGATCCCAAGCATACCTCCAAGTCCACTAGAGCATGGTTGCAGAGGAAAGGCTGGAACATTTTGGAGTGGCCATCGCAGTCACCAGACTTAAATCCGATTGAGAACCTCTGGTGGGACTTAAAGAAAGCAGTTGCAGTGCGCAAGCCTAAGAATGTGACTGAACTGGAGGCCTTTGCCCATGAAGAATGGGCGAAGATACCCGTAGATCGCTGCAAGACACTTGTGTCAAGCTATGCTTCACGTTTAAAAGCTGTTATAACTGTAAA